CCCCGCCCCCTTTTTCCTTTATTTAGGGGGGAATTGTTCAGCCCCCCCAGAAAACAAAACAACCAAAACAGGGGCGCGGGGGGGGGGGGGGGGGTCAACACAGTGGATCCCGGGATAATGCACGCCACCAGCAGAGAGAACGCGATCGTAAACCATGCATGGCGGCAACAATCTCGCCAGTCTTGACCACATCCTAAATAAAACCGGCGTGAAAGACTTGCGCCCCCCCGCGACGTCAACATTCTAGGGGGCTCTCCTTGAAGCGTGGGCTCTCGATGGCTACAATACTGCTGTAAATCCTTCCCTTGTTGCGGCTTTCCTGCTCCCTCTCCATAACTGATCATCTCTCGAATCTGTGTGTAAATTTTCGCAACTCGTCAGTCGGGAATGACGAACACGAATTTGACAGAGGCTACCAAGGAACCAGAACCTCGCCTCCAAGAGCGCAGGGGGGGGGAGGGGGGGGGGTCGCTCACCGTGAATGGGCCGGCGCCGGCGGGAAGCTTGCCGATGCACAGCCTGATCTTCTTGCCGTTCACCTGCCAAGACATAAGCGGCACACCAAAACACACGCAGAACATGCACAAAAACCGCACAAACGTCAGGATTTTTTGGGTCAGACCGCATGGGTACACAAGAGGTTATTCCTCCAAACATCCATCGGATGGAAAAAAAACATGTCGGAGGACAGCTTCGATTAATTATTTTCTCCCTCGGCTGCTTGGTCGCGGAAAGTGCCCGTGCTCCTTCCTGTAAAGCTGACCATGTACGCATTTCTCCAGAGGCATCCGGTATATCCACCGCATGGTTTTGGGCACGCTACTTTCCCAAAGAGATCGGGCGTCGAAGACGCCGCAGCCCAGGGTGGTGTACCGAGATCTATGCACCTGTGTGCCTCTAAGCTAGGTGGACTATCCGTGAGGCATTCAGCGGCCTGGGGCTCGCAGGACAGGCACTCACTCGCCCTCTCCGTAACCGCAGAGGAATAGTGGTACCGCCTTGTGCGCTTTGAATCTTCGTGATTTTTAGAAAAGGGAAAATTCAGAAGACTAGTCTAACGGTCTGATTGGACTTCTAAAAAACTCTCGACGTGCATTTACGAATGCAGTGATACCGCAGCAGCGACAGCAGACGCCTCCTCCTCTGTAACGCCTAACTCCATGCCGTGGTCAAGCGCTACAGTAGCCGTACTGCCGCTTTCACTTCGTGCTTGCAGAACAGGCACTTGCCCTCCCGGTGGCCGCCGAGGCTCTCGCCCACGCGTATTTGTGCCGTGTACCCTTCGCAGGGCTAGATGGGACTACAAAAAACGCACACCATTATCGCACGGGCGATAGCATCTCGATATCCATGCGATTGCCGCCCATGATCGCAGCAGTCATACCAGTCCCTCGTTCCTTTTAGAAAGTACAGTACAATCCAAGAAAGCCTTCCGGTTCCAGACATAACCACAGCAGTCGAAGGGGATGAGTTGCAAAAGCCCACACTACGCGTGCGAGGAGACAGGCAGTGTTGGTCGAGGCGTCACCTTGTGCTCGCACGTCCCGCACTTGCCCTCCTCGCAGCCGTACGCTGCCTTGTAGCCCGCCTTCTGCGCTACCGTCTTCAGGGGGGCGCCTCCGTTGGCCTTGGTCTTCTTGCCTCCCGGGAAGGTAACGTCCGCCTGGGTGTCGGTGTTGGTGTTCAGGGTCGGCGGGTCATCGTAAGGACAATACCGATAGTATACTGGTAGATTTTCGCAGGCTTGTAAAGTAAGCGAACACACTGGAAAAAGTAAGAGTCGGCTACGTTGTGGGTTAGGGTTAGGGTCTGTAAGGAAAACTATTCCGGCTCGCCTCGTGTCCATCTTCGTCTGGTGCGTGTGGTGCATCCTCCATACCTAGGCGTGTTATCCCTTCAGCCCCCTTCCAATGAAGTCCATTTACATTCTACCAGTATGTATGGAGTAATGCGTACCTTTTCACATGCGAACAAGTGTGTACCTGCAGGATGGACTTTTTTGGGATCGTGCATCGGGACGACCCTAACCATTCCCATGACGGCGCCATGCGAGGATCAGACCGTGGCGAACGTACAGTCTGGTTACACGGGTACCCACATGCACCGCAATCGTTTGATGCTCTCTACATCATGTACATGTAGCAAACTTTGCATAATCTTAGGAAATTTATTCGTTGGGTCATATTGATGAAATAAAAAAATAAATACACGCACAGAAAGACTTGTACCCGCGTTCGAGATATACCCACATTCGAAAATGGTGCATAATTTGCAGCAGAAGTACAGCAGTAGATGGTTCCTCCGCCCACGTTCTTTGTTGCGGCGGGTGTCTGAAAAGCTGACCTGCAGCCAGCAGCTATTAGACTAGTTTCGCTGGCCTTGCTGAATTGCGTAAACGAACAGGTTTTACGTACGCCAATACTATAGCGACACGCGATGCACTCGCAGCCATGCCCTCGTGCGACAAGGACCGGCGGCAACACTCTCATCTCGATTGGTACGCATAGATGCACGAGCTGCAACACATTCTGTGAGTCAGGTGAACGTTCGATGTGTTAGGTGAACATTATTCAAATGTTACTGCTGCAGTAAACGCCTTCAATGCTGCTGTGCATACGCACAGCCCACACACGTGTGTGTGCGTAACCGACTATTGACGTGATGTTTGAGTAGAGCTTGACACAGACGTCGCAACACCATGCGCAAGAACAGGGCAATCGCTTCCCTGGCCAATATCCACAACTCTGCGCCAAATAGGTTCGTGTTCCTCTGCCACGGGCTTATTATCATGACGAACCCGCCTGTTTGTTTTCACGTGCGTTGCGGGTTTGAGGGTGCTGCACAACAGCAGCTTCCTCAGCCTTGATGAATTTCCAATAGCGCATCGAGCAACAAAGGTGGGGACTGTAGGTCTGTCGGTGTGCAGCACGGCCATTGGCAAACCTGCGTGTGGTGGTTGAGGGAGGGGGATTCATCGATCCCAAGCTACATGTACGCACGTGCGGATGATGAATCATGTCACAAGAGTAGTAGCAAACGCACTCACCATGGACAGGCTGTTTGTCGGTCGCGACACAGATCGCACGGTCACCGATGGCGCCATGAAAGCGGCGGCGCCAGCCAGCATGCACACCATGAGGGAGACTACGCGGGAGAACATGTTTAGAGCTTGGGAGAGACGAAGAGTAGAGAAGGCAGCGTAAGGTGTTGTTGCGGAATCGGGCGGTGTGTTGGTCAGGTGCTGGGAGTGGCAAATCATCATGAGAAAATATCGTTTTGGGGGGGTGGAGGGGGGGGAGTCCCGCGAAATCAATGACACCGAGTTCAGGAGAAGGAACGCGCCGCCTAGGACAACAGCCGACGGACAAGTTTTGTTGCGACATCAGCACGCACACAGCACGCTAGACTCAGGAAGCGGGCCGTCCAAGGGATTGTAGTGGTGCGAGTTGCACAGAGATATAAGCGAGCGCTTGGGTCGAAAATCTGTTGCTGGTGTTAGGGGAACATCTCTTTGTCGACGAAGCAACCAAGCAGCCAGAGAGGAGAGAGGTGGCAGACGCGCAGTGCGCTGCAGCAGAGCACCGGAGGGAAGCTGGACCTGAAAGCGTCGCACCATGTCTAGGGACTCGAACTATGACCACCAGATCACGGTATTCTCTCCCCAGGGAAGATTGTACCAAATAGGTGAGGAGAGGACGCGCGTTGTGCGTTGCTCGGAAGATCGCGCTTGGGGAGCAGCAGATGGTCCAAGGCCTGTAGCAGCAGCAGTGGTAGCAGCAGCAGTCGGCGATGCTCATTGGCTTGGAGTGATGGAAGACGGTGGGGGGATTGCTATTGCATCAATGGTACTTTGCCGAAGGCCTTCACAGATTACGCTCGTAATGGCAGATTGTTTCATGCTGGTGCCCTCTTATCGAAAGAAGTCTGGGTATTTGTCTTGGTTTTAGTGTGCAGGGTTTCCAGCGGTTGCTTGATCCGACGCTCGCACCGGCTCTCCGGTGGAGGTCACTTGTTTATACTCGTGCATGATTTACCTATCGTGTCAGATGTCCACAAGAACAGAAAACCCGGGGCGCGTAAGTTGGGCAAAGAAACGAAGTAGAGGCCACCAACCCAGGGTAAGCAAGCAGTGGTTCACAGCGCACTGCTGTCTGTTGCCCATAAACTCCCAGACAACCTCGGCATCCCCACGCTCCACCGCCGTATGTAGCCACCTGTGAAAGCACACACCATAGGGTAGTCGATGAAGCGACGTAAGAGCACCGTTGGATCCAGCGTTCTTTTCAGAGCTGGCGACGGTCGTGGGACCTCGGGGTTGCTTCGCGCCACAACCCACCAGCGCAAACATCATTGATGGCACGGCGCCACTCCCAACGAAATACACAACAGGTGTTGTATGCACGCACCCCGGTGCCATCTCCCCGACCGGTACGATAGTATTGATACCAGTGTAGGCAGACCCACACACACGGTCTTCTCCACACGCTAGTTGACAATGCTATTGATCAGTACAGAACCACACGTTGTCAGCAGCAGTCGCGGTTCCGGTGTGAGAGGGTTACACGTTGCCAAGAGGGGGTGCTCCCACATGAAGGGGGTCGCAAGTGGTTGTCACGGACTCGACCCGATATTGGGAAAGTAGAGTACCCCCTTATTCCAGCATAAGGGGTCTCCGATATAGTAAGAGGGCCGAGGGCTTTTGTCACGCCACCCTCTTTGCCCCCGGCCCTCTTATTATGTCGAAGCCACGAGTGTACTGTACACTGCTGTATCCCCGCGTGGTAGACTGCTGTCCACGATCGTAGCGATCACCGCGTTGTACAGTCGTAGGCCATCTGTGAGGCGGTTTAACCCGCTGTAGCGCGGGTGAAATTGGCTGGCACAGACGGAATAACCAAGTTGTAGTACACATTGAATAATTCGGCTGCCATGTAAGGGCGGGTGAATCGGTCTGGCGTACCCCCGCCTAATAGAGGGCCTACGACTGTACATGAGTAGCAGGAGCAGCCAGACTCACCACTAGCAGTCCCGCTTGTGCTTCACCCACCTCGGAGATTATCGAGGGTCTTCGTTTTTGTTGCGCCTGGCACCTCGCCGCATGCAAGTAGAGTGTGGTGACGATCTTTATCTTGGCCTGCTCTTGCCTCTCTCTACTCGAAAGTTGAAACTAAACTAAATTTGGCACCTGCGGCACGCCAGAGTGCGTTATACCTTGGGTGTCGATCATCTCTCCCTCCAGACATGCCTCTATCGGTTGTCCTTTTTTAGAAAACAACGCAGCATCACAGGAAGACACACGCTCCAAATAATTCTTGGAGACGACGTGTTGGAAAGTATTTGCAACAGTAAGAATTGGGCGCAAGCTGTTGGATACTCGACTTGCGGAGTCTGTTGATGTCCTTACACTGAGAAACCATGGTTGCCAGCCTGTATTGCTTGACTATCTTCCTCTCTCCACCATCTCATTCTTTTCCTCTCTCCACCACGATCGTGTCTCCGTCCTCCTGTTTTTTTGTCTATTTTGTCCCTTTGCACCCCCCTCTTTCTCCCGCTCTGCATTGCGTTCTCTTTTGCCATCCGAGTAGAGTATGCGTTCAAGGCGGCGATGGGGCCGGGCTTGACGTCAGTGTCCGTGAGGGGAAAGGAGACGAGCGTCATGGTCACCCAGAAAAAAGTCCCGGTGAGTAGCGACACAACCAATTATTGTAAGCATGATAGCCGACATAAATGGAGCAAATGGTGTGAATGCTGATTTGAAATGAAAAAAAAAAAAGGATAGCCTATAACGCCCCGTCCTTTTTGAAGAATAACGCCCCGGTGAGTAGCCGAAAACTACTTCGAAGTATTTGCATGGTAACCGATAACGTCCCTTCCTCTGATACCCCATTTTTATTGCTGGGTTCCTCCGCCATGGACATGTTGTCGATGGTGCTCCGTGCGGCGTTACAGGCGGCCCGCACGTCCTGCCGAAGAAGCCAGTTAACGGTTGCCTCAGCCATGCGCGAGTAGTTGCAAGGCACGAGGATGTAGAAGCGCTCTGTGGCATGGCTGCGACCCTTCGAAATCATCCAATAGTTTGGAACGTACCGTATTCGTAACTAAACCTCTCGTTTTTACAACTTTTCCCTTGCGGCGTTCTCGAAAAATCGTCCGCTCTCCCAGGATCGGTTGATCGACCCTACCTCCGTGACGAACATCTTCAAGATCACCGACAAGATTGGCTGTCTCATGACGGGCATGATCGGTGAGGATGCGATTTTGTTTTGGTTGCGGCGCGTACGGAACTCTGCCGCGATACTGTTCGGCTGCGCGAGGCCTGACTAGGCTTCGCCGCGCTGTCGTGGCACGCCCACCCGCCTGTCGCCCCTCGGTGCCTGCACAGCCTGTCTCTCTGTATTTTTCTCCCAAATGCCGTCGAACGGAATGTGCCGGTTCATTGATATTGTTCCTCATAGCGGCCGGGACGGATGCACTTCACGCTGTCTCGTAGCTGGTGATATCACGCTTCGTCCGCTTTTATCCACAACGGACGGATTAATGGTGTGAATGTATCCGTACCCTTCGATGAAAACACGTGAAGCGTCTCCACAAAATAGGGCACGCCTACCTGGAAGCATGTTGATTCGTTGGCCCGGTTCCCCGTCGGCTATCTTTGACTACTTGACGCTGGACAGCCTCTGTTTGTTACGGAAGCTCCGTGCCACTTTATTTGCTGCTGCTGCTGCTGCTGATGATGATGATTACTACTGCTGCTGCTGCTGCTGCTGCTGTTGCTGCTGTTGCTGCTGCTGTTGCTGCTGCTGCTGACAATGATAAATGATGACGCACAGCCGACTCGAGAGTGTTGGTGCAGCGGCTGCGGTACGAGGCCCACGAGTTCCGCTTCAAGTACGGCTACGACTGCCCGGCGCACGTGCTGGCCAGGCGCATCGCCGACATCGCGCAGGTGCCACCCGTGGTCTTTGACCGCCGCTGCATGACGTTGACTGTCGGTGGCGAAGTGCATGAATGGTGGCGGATGGCTGTAGACGGCGATGACCATGGACGGTCATACAGAGTTAGCACCCGCACTTTAGTACCTCTAGTTTTTTGTAGGGCTGGGGTTCTTCGTTCCTAGGATTATGCTAAATAATACGAACGGCCGCTACAGGGGGGCTTTTGGGGTTCTAGATTTTGAGTTTTTCGAGGCTATGTATTCAAGCATCGGTTCCTGAACTGACAAGTTACTAAGTGCTTTCAGAGCGCTAACGATGGACTTTTGGCGCGCGTGGGTGTGGGCACGTCACACGGAGCCGGTCTTGGCTCGGCAGTGAGCGGGATACATCTCCCATCTTCTTTGGTTCAACTCCCTCCCTCCCAACCACTTTGTGTTTGTGCTGGGACTGACCTGTTTTTTGTTTTTTACTGCGGCCATCGCCCCGATGCTCGCGCAGGTGTACACGCAGCAGGCGTCCATGCGCGCCCTCGCGTGTGTAGCGATGCTGATCGCCGTCGACGACGAGAAGGGACCTCAGCTCTTCAAGGGGCGTCGGCATACAGAACTATTTATAATTTTTGGCAGTCTAGCAGGTGTACGTTTTGCCGGCCAAAATGCAGCGAAAATCATGTGAGAAAGAGTTGCGGGGGGGGGGGGGGGATACGGAGGTGCTCCTGCGAGATCAACAGTAGGGGGGGGGCAGTCGGAGGTGGTGTACCTGATAAGGGCGTGTTTCGTTCCTCGCCTCCGAGTTGGGCAGAGGCCGAGATTGAAGTCAGTGCCGCTGTTGATGTTCGTGCCTCGCCCCGTTGCGTACGTGGGGATATGTCCCCGGTCGCGTCGCCCAACCAACCGCTCCTCTTGTCTCATAATCTGTTGCTGCCCTTGTTCCGCGTGGTGCTCTCACGTGCTACATCAAATAATGAGGGGCACGTGTGTGCATGTGCCATGCCACGCCATTTAGCCCATCCTCTGTCGTGCCCCTTGCCGTGTCCTGACGCTCTAAAAATATCAGGTGGACCCTGCGGGGCACTACTTCCCTTACAAGGCGACGTCTTCGGGCAGCAAGGAGCAGGAGGCCATGAACTGGTTGGAAAAGAAGGCGAGCTTAGGCATAGCAACAATGGCATGAAACAAGTGCTGTTCGGGTTCTTTTGGAGTTCATTATTTTTCCTTGTCCTAACCGCTCGCTCTTGCTGGTCGCTTTATAGATTGTGTATGCATTTGGTGCTGCTGCGGCTGACAGCCCTCTGTTTCTCTTGCGATGTTTTTTTTTTGTTTTTTTTGTCAGGTGGATGGGTTGATGGAGATGGACGAAGATGCCACGATACGCTGTGCCATCCAGTGCCTTCAGGCCGTCACCGACTTCAGGGGGAACGAGGTACGCACGAGTTGTGTATTGTATGCGTTTCTTTGATTGCAGCCCCGCGCTACATACAACATCCGACTTTGGCCAATGACGAGGCATCAGTCTTGGCTGGGAAATGAGGCTAGGTTTTCTGTCGAGTCTGCCCCCTCCCCCCCTGACGGAGGAGACTTGGTCCAGCCTGCGAATTCACACCACACTGAGTACCCAAGGTTCCTCCAGTGGGAGGTATCCGTTCGCCTTCATGAGGCCTGTGGATGTGTTCCTTGTTGTAACGGTTGTAGCGGTGGTGTTTTTGATTGCCGCACTGCTGTATACCCGTCTGAGTGGTGTGGGCTGTTGTTGTTGCTCCAAAGCATCACGTTTGCTTGGAGAACACATTTGTTTCTATTTATTTTTGGCCCTGTCGGCGTGACTACTACTTCGGGTCCGGCTACAGCAACGCATCTACTGCTGTGGAGCTCATGTCTTTAGTTCTATTAGCAAGCAAAGTACGTATTCAAATCTACCTTGATTGGCGAGACCCCCCTTGTGACTCACTCCTCTTCCTTTGTTTTGGGCATCCAATTGTGGGTGGTTTTACAGGTGGAGGTGGGGGTGGTGTCTGGCAAGGGGCGGTTCAAGACTCTGGATGAGGACTCCATCGAGGCGCACCTTGTCGCCATCAACGAAATGGAGTCGTAGCTCAAGTAGCTTTGAGGGGCGTTCCGGGTGTGGAGTTTGGGGTACCCGGGGGTGTGGGGGTGCCCCGCGCCTGCTGAGAAGTATCTCCGGTGCGGGATGGAGCCAGGCAGGGGGGGGCTATTCACCCGTGCCGGTTTCATCTCCTTGGCCGGAATGGTGATTGCCATACCTCGGGCCATTGGCTTCATTAGCGGTTTCCCGCGTCATTTTTCAGGTCGATGGTGGTATGTAGGGCGCGGAGGTACCGGCCCGGGTCAACAGCGGTATTGTTGTAGAAGTACGTTACTCTCTAAAACGCTGTGGTCATGGCGGCCTGTGACGCTTGTGGTTCACTGTAGCGTCCGGCAGTGGTTCAGCTAAACACGAGAGAATCGAAACACGAGGGAGCTCATGACGGAAAAAACATTATGTGATCGATTTGCCTGTGTGCCGTTGCCTCACGGCCACCATTTTTCGAAGAGAGAAATGACGCCTGTGATCAAAATCATTTCGGCCTGTAATGCCACTGATTCGAACTGGGTCATCTTGAGATGAGGTTCTGTTCTCCCAAATGAAAGAAATACAGCACGATCCAGGTGCTGCCGTGGAGGGCTCTTGCCAACTCTTGTAAGTCAATCGTACTTCACCCAAAATATATACCACGTGTGCATTAGTAAACTTCTGGCCCATTTAATGCAGAGATTCTGGTCTTGACAAGTTCTCGGCAAACAATGGGTGTTTTATTGCGGGGATTCCGGTTTCCAGTCTTGAAAAGTTTTCGGCAAACAACGGGTGTTTTACGTGGACTCCGGTTTCCGGTCTTAAAAAAAAAGTTCTCGGCAAAAAATTGGTGTGGACCGAAATAGGTCTGGAAAACGGTGCAATAAACTTGTTGCTGAATTTCACCAGTACAATCGGCAGCTTCGCCATTGAAGCAGGACACGCTGATACACGCTGATACGTGCAATTGCGGACACTGGACAGAACTATCACCAGGGTGGTTCACCCGTTTAGATCACGGCACAACAAACTGCTGTCCCCCGCAAACGTATCACGACCGCCTGCGCTTGGTTTAATATCCATCTACTACCCAATCCGGAAGGGCCATTTGGGCTCCCAGAAAAACAAACACTGGGAGGTGTGTTCTGGCCCCCGACCCTTCAATAATGGCCCACTCCACCTCCTCCTACTGCACGTGGGTAAGACATCGAAGATTTCGTAGTTTGGTTCAGAGGACACCCATCCGCGCCACTGGGCAGAAAGCGACAACCCGACCGCGACTGACCTAACAAACCCATCATGCTCTTACGTTTCCGCTGCCTTCCATCACCAAACGGGCACATGCCATGTATACTGTTTTATGTGTCACACCAGTAACAACAAACCAATCATACACAGAACAAGACTTTCAAAAGCCCCCTTTCGCCGCGACCACAGCAGCACCTACAAGCACGCTCCCCAAGCAGGTTCATTCATTGCCATCGCTGTCGGACACCGCGCTTGACGCAACGCTCGCCACCTCTTCCTCGTCCATGTCCGCCACAATACCAGCACCGTTCCCGAGCCGCGCAAGAACCACCGACCTAGCCCCTCCCGCCGCCCCGCCGGTGTCCACAAAGAACCCCCCGACTCCCACCGCCGCCGCCGCCGCCGCCGTGTTACCCCCTCCCTCTCCCACCCCCTGTAGCCGCTCCATGGCGGACAGAAGCGGGCCGAGAGCGGCCGGCGCGCAGGCCGGCGACGACCGCAGCAGCTCGGCAACGGCGGCAGGGCTATTCCTCCGCGAGGCGAGCTCCTTGAGGGCGGGTTGGGCCGCGTCCCCCTGACCGACGGCCGCGGGCGCCTCCGGCCGCCCCAAGAACTCGAGCAGGGCCGGGGGCGCGCTGCTGTCCCCGACGAAATCCCACGCGGCGGCGGCGGCGGCGGCGGCACCACCACCGCTGCCGCTCCTTGCGCAGCCGCTGCTACCACGGCCTGCGATGGCTGTAGGAGCGATAGCCTCCTTCCTGCTAGGCGGCTTCGACGACGACAACGACGCCGCTCGCGCTGACCGATTCAGGGTTTCCGTCACCCGGAAGGCGTACGCACGCCTCAAGAACTGGGCCGCGGTGGGGGCAGGCGTCGCCGCCGGGCGGCGCAGCCTCGCGAGAGCCCGGCCGCACGCCGGGGCCAGCGGGGCGGCAAGGGAGACATTGCCGACGTCGTCGGTGGCGAAAACAGCGTCCCCGACGCAGCGCAAGAACTCGAGGGTACCGGGCTCGCTGCCGGCGAGATTGGCGGCGCACAGGGCGGACAGGTGCCTCGACAGGGCGATGTTGTTGCTCTTGTTGCTGTCGGGACCGTCACCGGTTTCCTCCTCCTCATCGCTGTCGCTGCTGCTCTCGTCGTCTGAGACTTCCCGGCCCCCGGCCGTAGCCGCTGCTTGTGCGGCCTTGACAACCGCCTTGCGGCCGACGGAACATGCTGCCACGGACGCAGCGTAGTGCGCGAGCAAACGGGCGACGGAAATCCGCGCCGGTGGCGTGGAATCGACCTGGCGGAGAGAGTGTGTACATGGTCGGAAGGGGAACACGAAACGGGGTGCGTACAGTACAGAGGTGACGTAAGATATCACACCTCCTGGCACGATTTTCACAGCTCCACTACGGGATACTCGAAGTAATAACTAGAAACCGGGCCCATACGTAAGCAATTTTTATGTTGGACCGGGAGAACTAAATATAAAACATGTATGTTTTAGAGGGGTAGAACCGGGTAGATACCCGTCCTCCCACCAATCACATGTCGACTACGTAGGATATAATGTACGACAGAGACAGATGATTGGTTGATGGCCACGCCGCCGGGCGGGAATCCCCCGAAAGACGTAGCACAGCAGGAGCAGCACACGACACACACGAGACAACCAGCACAGCAGCACACGAGACTGCTGTGGACCAAAAGGGCAGCCAAAGGCACACATAATAGGAGGTCGGGTTCGACTGTCAGAGCCGGTTGGCTGCTGTCGGCAGCACCACAAGCAAGGGAGGCGACACAGACAGGTTATATCTGCTGCTGCTGCTGCTGCATGCCGCTGTCATCTATCTGCAGGCCGATCTCTTGAGCTTGCTACACAGGTGCATCCCTAAAACAGGGACATTGAGACGTACAAACTGCTGCACACCCGGCCAAAGGAGCACATCATACGAGGCATCGAGAGTGATTATTGAAGCTCGTTGCCTGCTGCTAGCAGCGTAATACGCGAGTGAAGCAAGTGCACGCAAGTCAATCAATCTGCGGCTATCTTCGCCGGTCTGTCTGCAGGTCGATCTTCTATTGATCCACAACAGACGCGCCCGAGCACAGAGAGACAATGAGATATACACACGCTGGCGGCCAAGTCGACCAAATACACACACACATAGGGGGCGTCGGGGGCGGTTTTTAGAGACCGTTGCCGCTGCTACGAGCGTAATAAGTGGTGCACATCCACACAGCGGCAGCAGCAGCAGAAGCAGCTGATGATTCATGAGAGCTTCGTCCACACCACACAACACTTTCACTCGTCCCCGCGCTGCTAAACAGCAGCAGTCCTGCGTACACGGCTGACTGGTGGTGTTGGGTGAGGTGTGAGCGTGTGCAGTAGCAACGGTGACCTCTCTGTGAGGCTAAATCCATATCTATCTACACGCCTGCGTCTCTTTCTCCGCCCGTTCTTTTTCGCGCTTCGCGCGAAATAATTTATTTATTTCTTGTTGGGCCCCTATGTATGGGAGTTGAGCCACAAACTAAGGCAAGCACCGCAGGGGGAAAGGTGCGGCAATACAAAACGAAACAAACCAAATGAAAAAAACCCCTGCGTGAACTTCCTCTTGTGTGACCCCGGCTGATCCGTCAGGTATGTACGCCGAAAGGCCTGTAAACCGGCGCCAGATTAGATGCGACGGACACACACATTTTTTCACCCTCCGATGAAGAGTCAAATGATATGTGTTTGGAAAGCTCGAGACTAGGCGGTTCCAACGCCGCCATTAATTTCGGTACCGCCACTCACTCTTTCTGCTGTGGCGGAGAAATCCAGCTTTAAAAAAACCAGTCCAAGGGGTGTGGTATCTTGCGTCACCAACGGCAAGCACAACAACAACTCACGAGCAAACCCAGTGTTGAGCGAAAATAACGACGGGGTTACAGCAGTGGACACTAAAGAACGGGAATATGTATAGCCGTTTCCTTGATTGCATGTGTAATTCCTAAAAATGAAAACAACACGTGGTAATCTGTTCAGTCTGCGACATGGGCGTATGACTCACCTCGTTCCGGGGCAGAGTTCCTAGACTGCTGTCCAAAGATGTCGCTGATACCTCGCCGTTCCACGCCGAAGGCGTTTCCGGCGCACACGGCAACAGAAGCCAGCTTGCAGGGTCCGCCGGTCGACAACCGCCACTGCCGGCGTCATCCGTCGCTCTCAGCAGGCCAGACGCCGTGTTACCACCGGCGGCGGCCGAAAGAGCCAGCCCGGCGACCTGCAAAATTCTCAGCATGAGCCCCAGCGCCTCTACTTCCAACGCCGCTTTGTCGCCCGTGACTGAATCCCCCCCCCGGGTGTCACCACGCCCGGCGACAAGAGATCTCGCCGCCGAAGAGGCAAGCACCGCCGCGCGGTCTGCGAAAAACGCCAGCCCGGACGGAGACATGGCGGCGAGCGGGTCGGCAGCGAGGGCACCGACGAGGTCTCTCAGGCTAATGACGGCGGCATCCAGGGTTGTCGATACGGGGGCAGCAGCACCATCGAGCTTGCTAGTGGACCCCATGGCGTTTGCAAGTAGGTCGAGGGGTGCCCTCGGGCTCAAGGCGAGAGCTCTGAGCGGCTTGTTGTCGGTTGCAGCGCCATCGATTCCCCTGCTCTGTTTCTCGGCGATGGCGCGCGCCTGTCGGTACAGCTGGGCGGTGCACGGCACCAACGCGCAAGCAGCAGCGACGCCGGCGTCTTTTCCCGTAGCAACCTCACCCCCGTTCTGCGACTGCTGCTGCTTGGATCTGATCGATGCAACCTCCGCCGCCAGCGTTTTCATGGTAGCAGCTTCATCTTGCACCAGTTCGGCCTTCAGCTTGCCTGCGGGCAAGGCGCCCAAGGCGGCTCGGAATAAACCTTCCACTTGGACATCTACGTCGACCTCTTCATCATCGCATGTAGAGGTCAGCTGCACGGCCAGGCCTACGATGAACTTGTGCGCTCGAGACACAGCAGGTTTGCTGGATGCACAATCGGGGGCCGCAGCTGCGTGGTTGCTATCGCCTTGAATAAGCCTTTTCTTCGCCTTTGATCGAGGGGAAGGAGGGTGGCCGCCTGGGGATTTTCGCTTGGTCGCTGCTTCTGTCACCTTTCGAGCGGGCATGGTGCGGTGCCCGCTGTTAAGGGCGGTTGACTCTGTTTGGTGTCCGCGGGTGGCCTTGATGGAGGCTGGATGCGGCGGAATTGAACACAAATCCGGAGTTGCACGCCCAGCTGCAGGCGTTCGCTGTCTGTAACCGTCAGGACAATACGACGAAACCATACAAAACGACAAGACAGAAAGGGGCGAGAACTGAACACGTTTGGCATGCTAGCAGGGACATGTGGTAAATGCGGATGTCCAGAGGATACAGTGCACTTCTATTGTATCGTGCGATCTCCGTTCCTTTCTCGTTGTTCCCGCGAAAGGATGTTTTCATGTACATTATGCGCTGCTGCACAGAAGACTCCCGTTGGAGAGTACAGGAGAGTTATAGCATTTCATGCAGCCCCGAAAAATTCAAAATCTAACAATTTTGGCCAAAGAAACACGTGCTCACTTCCGGCGTGGCATTACAAGAACAAGAACCCGCCTTTGCGATGTAACATTGTGCATACAGATACGCGCCGAGCCCCACACGCGAGCCCCACACGCAAGCCCCACACGCGGCCGCTGCAAGATAAAAACTCACGAAGGGTTGAGGGGCCACAGCAGTACTCGCTGGGGGGTGACCGATGACCCCACCGGCAGTTTCAGATCCGCGGCTGTACCTCCTGAAAAACACCGGTGGGGGTAGGGAGTAAGGTACTACAGTAGCTTGTACACGGTCTACCCTTCGTCGCGTGACGTTGCTCGTGCGTGCCACGCTGTTTGCTTGGCATGCGCATGCATACGGGAACCATGTCTGTACCCCACCCATCGAGACCAAGCAGGAGCCCAGCCAAAACCGTCAAGGGTGAAACGAAATCGTGTCATTCTTGATCGACATAAGAAGGTCATCAAAGAACATGTCAATGATGGTAGATGCCTCACGAAGGCACACTGGGGGGTCATCGGGCCGACGTTGGGGCTAGAAAACAGTGGCGCCTTCCCGCAAGAAGAAGAAGAGTGGACCACCAAGGATAAATGGGAAAATCCTGGGTATCACATTAGCAGCAGCGCTCGTTCTTCGTCGTCGTCACGGCAAGCTGATGCTTGCGGACGAGGCGCACTGGTCGTGAGGTGGATTCTGCCATCCTTACGAAGGCTACTGCGGTAGTACTCATGTGTGGTTTTGAGCTATGCAAGTGCGCAAGTACGTGGCCGTCCATCGGTCATTTGGATCTTTGGGGTATCTCCGGTAGTGGTATCTTTGGCAAGTTGTCGTGCGTTCCTTGCTGTCATGTGTTCCAAGTTCCGAATATGTCTTGTGACCGTTGCTCGCGTGCCTCGTGTTTGTGATGCACGCTGGTACCCACTCTCTTCCGTTGTTGCTTGTGTCTACGAGGACAACCAATAAAATGACTTTACCATCTCTTCAAATTGTCAACCGGGGCAGCCGTGCTCATCATCCAGCAGCACTCGGCTTGGGGCCAATCAACACGCACCGCCTATGCACGGTCGTGGTCTTTACTTGAGGGGAGCAGCGCCGCAGAAGAGCAGGGGGGGGGTACGGTAATCAAGCTACGAGTTAGCAGATAGAGCTGGAAGGACAAAGACGCCGAACGTGACCCTCGCGGGCCTCTATAGTACATACATGATTCCATGTTGCTCATGATGCACCTTGTTTTAAGGCAATGCCGTGTCTGTACTTCTACCTTCTACTGGTGATCGCGGAAGCTGCGGTGCGTCAGATCCAGAAGTCCTGTTGAACGACGTTGTGGGCTACTATTTTATTCCATGAAGACGCTGTTCTCAAAAATGTCACCACGCAGGCAAACAAGAAAAATATTTCCGCTGCATGGGCCTCGCCGCGTAGAAATGAGACGAACAAGAACCCCTTGTCATCATAGGCAGGGTGGATGCCTGCTCGAAACAAGAACGTTGAGAATAATAACAGGTGCTCGGATCGAGGCATCAAACATGAATTGAGCCCAACGCAAAGTAAGCGGTTCTTTAAAGTGCGAGCGCCTAGTTACTGTCGGAGCCCATCTCATGCAATCTTCCAGGGGGAGGGGGCAGGGTGGAGAGTGACGGGGATAGCCTATCTTGTCTTTCTTGTTCTTTCCGGTACCCCGTCCTTGTTGTCGTGTTGGTTATTTTGCTGCCTTTCGCTCGAAGCTCCTAACTGTACTACGGAGTTGCCTATTCTGCCTGAAGAGCTCCGATCCGAGGTCGCAAGAAGCAAAAGGGTTCCTCAGCAATGCATTGGCATCCCTTGCGTGACTACTGTATACTTCCGATGTATGCAGTCCCGATTAGTGTTTCTGCAAGAAGCCCCGCAAACACAGAAAGGAGCCTTCTCGCCCTTGCCGTACTATTCTTCCCACCGTGATTATTCGTGAGTCGCGATAGTGTGCATAGCTCACACATGTTTGGAGCAGTTTTCTTCAAAGAGTCAGTTTCAGAGGAGGAGGAACACAAAAATTATCTGCGTGTGTAGCTCAATCACGAAACGCGTGCTAGATGATGGAAGTTGCTTACTGACTTGGGCTCTTGCGTGAAGCTCTACTGCACTTCCATTGCGTGCAGGCAGAGAGACCCCTGCACGCGGATAGAGAGACGTAAAAACAAACTAACCAAAAAGACGTACGCCATTCCCGAGCCCACGTTTTTGGTTTGGTGTTCGTCCAACGGGAAGTTATTGCGCAACTAAGAACGGCCACCTTTCACTGCTTCTACCTCCCCCTCCCCTCTCTCTGTTTCTCCCCCTGTCCGCTTCTCCGACGACGTATGTTTTGGGGACGCCTATTTCACTAATTCCGTGGGTGACCCGCCTACAAAAATACAGGCGAAGGCATGATTCGAGCTCACGGCAGTATGAGGCACAAGTTATGCGCACACAATTACACCAGATATATTCTTACATCTGTGTGGCCTTTCTAAATGGATGGGTCAAAAGGTCCGGCTGTTATTATGTATTTTCACGGTCGGTCAACGGCACGGGACGTCGCGTCTATGAAATGCAGCAACAACGACATCAACGACCTATTTATGCTCTCAGAAGACAGATGCAACACCCTCATCACGGCGTTGCAGTCTTTCTCTGCGCACAGGAGCAAACGGGGCGACCCAGGAGAATCGTAGACCCTCTGTTTCGGAGATTAGGGATATTACAGACAGCAATAAGGGAGAAATCGCGCTTGGATGCAGAGTACTACACGTTGTGTTTGCTGACTCGACGGATTGACGTTGCTACATGTATGTCTGCAGCCGGGTGTCTGCGGTAGATAAGCCTCGATACAACCGTCTAAGTAGCGGCACTGGTTTTCAACAGACCACGAGCCCGTAGAGGAAAGGGAATGACGCGTAAACCCATCTCGCGTAACAAACTTGTTTTATCCCTTACAATAGATGCAGTATATATAGAGCAGTATACACGTACCCGGCTACATCAGCTCGCCAGAGTCGTCACTAGAAGACGTGAACTTTGTTCCCCCTTCTCGTAGTCCACGATGTCGCAGTGTCCTAGCGTCGGTAGCACTTCTTCATCGTCTGTTTTCTGATGGCAGTAATGGAGGCACTTATTTAGCGGACGTCCGTGTTCTCACCCTCCGACTTGATCCTGAAGATCTCGACTATCCAGATCGCTGCCGATGTTGTCGTTGGTGCCATCCTCCTGCCGCCCCGTCTGTTGATGTGAGCGAGCGTTTGAACGCCGCAGCGGCTCAGGATTGGAGTGGTACCCGTCCGCCCGTTGTCCAGCATTGGCATCAGCTTTCGATCCCTCCCGCCGGTTGCCACTGCTGTTGGGCATACCTAGCATGGTTGCCGATCCGCTGGAGAGGGGGGGGGGAGGAAAGCGCTGCTCTCGGGTTTTCGGAATCCCCCCATCCACAGGATGACAGGTATTCATTGGAAAAGCAGGGTTCATGCGGACACATCAAAACCACGGAAAAAATGTACCACTACATGTGTGAAGAAGCATTCCGACAACCTGGTTATCTTCGGGGGACCACTGATGGATCCATTCACGGGCATGGGCGGGTGGACCACTTTCTTGTGGCACCACCGGACTTCTCCTCGCCCAAATATCAACCAAGTAAACCTGCCTGCCGTCTGTGGAGGGCTAAGTCTACTACGACTTTGGGATCGTTCTGCCACGGAAGCAGCCTATCTAGGTCGTCATCGGAAGACCAGTGTCTAGAGAGTGTACCGCTGTGCATGCTGCGAAGTGTAGATGATAATGGCGCTGTTGGGCGTTGCGTCTTTGTGATAAGCTTGCAGCGGTAGCGCGTCGGGCTTAACCACTTTGGAAAGCTTATCGCAGGTGCTCGCTGAGAAGCAAGAGACAGCCTGCTATATGCGAGACGTGGAACGCTGCCGGGTGCTGCTACGCAACTCGATCACCCTCGGAACGATGAGATAATAAGATGTCATAACTACAGGCTCACCCCAGGGCCTGGTTTTGATGGTAAAATATGAGAGGGAGGGAGGGAGGCGCGCGGGACAGCTCTCGATCACTAGCAACAAAAAGAGCAAAATCTAATGTCGGGGACCCCGAAAAGTCAACCGGCTATGTGTTGGGTGTCCCCCTAGATTTGTTCTGACCGTGCTGGCAGGCCCGTACGGGAACATGTCACACAGCATATGGTTTCTGCTATACTCTAAACTGCACGTGGCTGCTAGCTACTGCTGATTGCTGATACCATCTACTATGCTGTACATCTTAACAGCATACTACTGACCTGGCGTGCTTACGCCATCTTTCTGTCTATTTAGCTTGGGTACGACTACCGTTGTTGTCTATGTTGCCTACAGCGAACACAGAAGGGATATAACTTGGCTATTGTCTACATCGACACGTAAATACCACTGACATTGCGATGACACCTCGATCAACGCTGAAATGAGTCAAGGATGAAACAAGCGATGGTGTAGACCAACAGGTCGAGAGATATTTGTTTTTCGGTATGCTGTGAACCGGGGACTTCAGGGCATGAAACTGATTTTGAACTCGATGCGGGTGTGAACACTTTTACCCGATGCCCACATCTTGGGGCTCGGAATCAAGATCGAAGATACAGAACCTTGATCTCAGGTCCAATGAAAATGTTAAGATTGTGAATGTTGTTTATAGAGTAAACGGTACGGACACAGCCAGCCGTGCTTGATTCTTCTGATGCTGGAAATAACATCCCGTGCTTCTACAATGATTGTTGAAGACAAGTGCCAACCTGGAAAAGGAGCAAGGCCAGAGTATAGGCAAAAGAGCGTGCTTGGAAACAATAGCTGTACACAATTGGTCCAAAGCAGATGAATCACAACAAGATATCTGAATGCGAAGCCTTCCATCAGATACCCCAACGAAGCCATGCAGAGGCTCCTCGTGTGGAACGACCGGAAGCGATTTCGAGTATCTTTTGGCACGGAAATATCAAGGGAGCTTCGCACGGAACCACAAACTGCTATTAAAAACTATATCCGTAGAACCTGTTTTTCTCTGGCAGCATCTAAAACAAGTAAGCATTGCCGCCGTTGCTGCTGTAGTCGTCGTCGTCTTCACAAAGCTCACAACCTTCTTTACTTGAAGCATCTGCAGGTCCAACTGACGCCGGATGTACGTACGAGAATATGCCGCATGCGTCGAAAAAGGAAGCACTTAGCAGGAAGAAACCACACTCATATGCCTGAAATGACCACCTGCACACAACACCTTGTCGAAAGGAGTACGCTCATCCTTATGACCGCCTTGCGATTGCTCCGATACGCTTGGGGGACTTTGCGATATGCATAGATATGCCACACGAGTAGGGGCGCAGTCAGAATTGACGCGACCGTTAACACGATGTAGCCCGAGATGAGCGCTAGCTTAGGCACACAACTCGCAGCCCCAAACGCGTCCTGATGAGAGAAGCCGGCATCACAGGAGCAAAAGTAGTAGGCGGCATCATGTAGTAGGCATTGTCCGTCTCCTCCCCAAAGCGAGTGTCTGCATTGGTGTACACACATCGGCCTTTGGATGAAGGCCGGGTATCATATGCATAGAGTTGCTATGGCGGGAGGTTGTTCTCTCTCTCTGTCCTGAAACCGTATTTACGAGACGAAACGGCGCACAATGTACTCAACTTATAGCGGTGTTGGAGTATATACTGTACTGTATGCATAGGAGGCCGCACAACCATGAGGCGTTTCGGCGCGCGAAGCGCGCAATGTTTTGCCTCAGTAGGGCGCTTTTATGGCGCTATTCGTTCGGCGATTGGGGTGGCAAAATCAACAGTTGGGCTGCCCAAACTTGCCGAAAGGCATAGGACTTGCTGTGGGCATCTCTCTGGGTTCATTTCGGGGCGTTTTAGATACAATTGCGAAGAGTATTCACGCCTGCCTGGCAAGAGACTTGTTGAGGTTGTTACCTTTCTTCGCGTTGTAAACCACCCCCCCCGGTCTCTGATCAGTACCATTTACCACTCATACCAGTTCATACCAGTTCCAAGTGACGCGGACGCCTTCCGTGGTTACAAGCCAACTGCCCAAGAGGGCTCACAATTCTCAATCACCGAAAACAGAAATTGATGAAATAAAAAGCAGAAAAACAAGGGGTTCCTGGAATCACAAAAAGAAAACAGCGAAACTAACAGAGGACACAATAAAGCGCGAAGACATCAAAACGTCCCAGGCAAGTCGGCCATCGCTGGTGACCAAACGGGGATAAAGGAGATACACAAATGAACGCATGGTCCAAGCTCATCTCTTCCGCTCGGCACGCGATGCCAAACATACTTAAACAAAGAAATCAAAGATCACCAGTAATTAAGACAGACATCACATCGGGCAGCGGTACGAAGGGCGTTCACTGATCTAAGCAAAGAACATGATAACATATTCGACAAGAAGGGGGTCGAAATACCAAACTGAGCTTCGACCCGATTTCGACGATTCATATCTCCGGTCCCGTTCTGTAGCACCTCATATTCAACGCCGCCAATGGACCACATTGCACAAATTCAGAAATAATGCACCCTACGCTCGTTCTTCTCTGTCTCACACTCCCTCACCCAGCGTCGGCAATACCCTCGCCTTGTCTGTACCAATACCAATGGAGCCGGTTTTGTCGCTGATGATCTTCTTGGCAACAACCTCAGACTTAATCACGCAGACCACGATCTTGTGGTCTTCTAGATCACTGATGCTGTGGGTAATGGCCTCCTGCTGCTCCTCCTTCGGTTGTTGATGGGGATGTGATTGCCGGTGCGACTCCTGGGTCATTTTTCCCGGGTGAAACATCCATGACCACAGCCGGTTAATGAAGAGCATGGCCGTGCCTACCACGACTGCAGATCCGGCGCTGGAGAGGGAGAGAAAAGCGTTGCTCGATATTCAGCATTCCAGTAATACCGCACTACCGCTGAAATTGTTTTATGGTTCCATACAAAAACACATCAACTTCGTCGACACGTCGGAGGGAACAAACGAAATTTGTCTCTTCTACCGCTCATCGCTGGAAAAATCGAGCATGTCGTCGGTAACCACACTATCGGGGCGCAAACAAGGTGCGTATCCAGGTGGTTTGCTGCCAAGACGATCCTGGGGTCGAACTCAGGAACTGTCGTTTGCTCTCCGGTTTCCCCTCTGTTGTATCCGTCATCTTTTGATTCAGGCCCGGCTCTCACCAAAGTGTCTGTCCTCTTCTGGCAGACAAGGGTTCTCCAAAACGCCCGACAAAAGGCGTCGATATCTCCTCAAATTTCAATGCAGCGTGCGGTGGAAATTCTGCACCGCTATATATAGCCTGAGTGGTGTTGTGTTGAGGAGACTATGACAACAGTGGCAGCGCGTTTTCATGCACCCACTCATACTTCGTGAGAACGTCTTCCTCAATCACAATGAGGCCCGATAGCTGCCGGAAGGTCCGTCTCCTCCAAGTGACAAAGCTCTGATCCGGCTTCACAAAGGAAAGGTCACGTCTGCTGCCAAAACCTTTTGCTTTACCAACCCGGGACGGTATCAGTGGTGCCTACCCTTAAGTGTTCTCAAGGACAAGCTCAGTAGAACCGTCGTCCGAGTTTCCGACCTTAGACTAACCCCCTAGGCGAGACCACAAGCTTGACTACGCGCGCGACCCAAGTTTCCAAGTTGACAGGGCTTCGAGCGAATTTCCGAAGCACTCAAGAAGATATCGAGATTTTCAAGAGCATCTCGGCGCCTCACGCTCGCGCTTTTCTTGGAAACCTTGATTATGCCCCACGTTCACAGGTAGAAGAACATGTTATGCTGTAGATATTGAGGTAAACCACGCGCGGTCGACCTGCGACAATGGTTTGTAAATTACCACCCGTCATCGACCAAAGATGTGTTGTGGTGCTACCTCAACGCTATTCTTTACACCAACCGACAGTGTACCGAGAGGGTTCACACCACCTCCTCACTTCTGTTTTATGTAAGTTTGTATGTCCGTGAAGCTTCGATGGGTTGTTGACGTGCAACTGCCCTTGCTCATAACAAATCAACAAGGGTGTTGGGGCTAACCCTCGTCTAACCTTGAGATCTTCGTCGCCGAGTATTCGCTGCTTGATGTCATGGTGGCGATCAGGCTCGGACGGGTGCTGGAGGCTCTCGACATCGATGGTGCCGCTTGGAACTGTGTCAAGCTAGTGAATATGAGCGCAGCCGCATGGCCACATAGCGTCTGCCAGATTCGCAAGAGAACGAGCGTCGTTAACCCCGACCCCGAAACGTTTATGTTGATTTGGCCGGCAAGATCGGCTAATCACATATCGAAACGTTCGTATCTACCCAAGACCGTTTACGAAGTGGTGTGACAGCCGTTTTCGCTGAAGAGTTATCCATCAACAGGGTGCGGTGGACAGTCATATTGACAGCAGGACTTACCTGAGCAGTCCATACGATGATAGGAGTGCTTCGCCCGAATTGGGTAAGGTGCCTGACAGCAATAGCAACACTCACGGCGCAACCGATGCTGCAAAGTGCAAGGGCCTGTTTCCAGAGATTCTTCTTTGCCTCGATGTAGAACTCGTTCGAGCTAGCTGCATGCTGGTGCAGATGGAAGGGCATGCAAGTAACGAGAGCACGGGGATTACAATTGCGTTGCGTTGCCTATAAAAGAAACAATGTTTGATTGATTAGTCAGCTTTTTGTCGAGGTTTGCGGCCGACCCAACACGAATACATACACGGGGCTGTGCTTCAACCAGGAAGCATTGAAACACAAGCATGCGCCGGCCCGCACGTACTCGCTGACTCACACGCGCGTTCTCATGTGCACATGTGCACTCGTCGCGGTGGCTTTAAGGAAGCTCAGGGAGAGAACGACACACGACTGAAATCGGGTGGTTGCCGTTTGAGGATCCTTGGAGACACAGGACATGCACTTGTGGATGTCAAGCTGGCTCACGCTAGCCAGGCGTCCGATGTTAGTCTGAACTTTTCAAGCATTTGCCGACAAGATTAAATGGCACTGTCTTGTCGAGCCTATTACCCACAGGGGAGATATCGCTATATGCTGCTCGGGAACCGTCCAAGTACAATTTGGTCACCGTATAGCAATATACGTTCATTGCTAGTCTTCCATGGGCTCTAATCTGTGGAAGAGATGGATAAATACAACCATGCCGTCCTGGGTTTCTCTCCACACGAAAAATAGAGCTCGTTTAATACATAAGTCAAGGTTCCCGCAATGCCGAAAAAGGCAAAGAAAGTTGTTCCGTCATGAATGCTTCAATTATTCACGCAGTTGTGTCAGGGGCCCAGGTATCAACATCGAAGCGTATCATGCATGAAACCAGTCAACCCCCCGCATCAAGCAGCGAATTCGACTACGCAAAACGTACATGAACGCATGTCAACATAGCATGTCGTGGGTGTTCAAGAATGCAGGCACCTTCTTCGAGACCGTCAAGCCGCGTTTTGCGACGTTTCAACTCTGTCCCTACTTGTGAGCAGCACCTCTGGCATGAAGTCCTCGTGTATTGGGCGAAACCTTGGCTTGCTAGGCCCCGTGCTTCAACTCCGCACCTACCTCCGACATAGCGCAGTTGATGAAGCTCGTGATCCGAACAGCCACGAAGATGATAACTATGCACTAGTGGTGCCAACGTTTGGTGCAGAGAGTGGTGGTTAAAGGCGTGCGAAGGTGGCAGTAAAAAGTGTGGGGGAAAGTCAGTGCTTTCAGAGCGAACCTGAAGCACGACACAGCTTTACCGAGAGCCACGTTCGACCATGACCACTCCGTGTTTCCCCCTTGCCGTTAAGGGCATATCTGTTAGGCATGCAGGGCGTGAGACAGTATCTGGCCTGGCGATCAGCAACCTAAGCGAAAGAAGAAATACGCATACAAATGTTTGTTTCGTGAGGAACCGCTCTGTTCTCCCCGTCGGCCGTGCGGCTTGACAGGTGCGAGGGATGTGATTGGTGCCGAGTCGGCCCCGGTCGGTTGTGTACACATCAGTGAAACAAAAAAGCCTGACCGTCCAGCAGTTCAAATGATTCCACGAATACAGTACAGCACATATGTAGACTGAACAACAGTTAATAACCGGGTACGCTGTGAAAATGCTACCTGGTATAACATGGGGTTACGATGAACTATACAGGCTTGGAGGCGGTAAACCGCACTCGTGTTTCACCGTTATGGCGGACCCGGACGCCACTGCAAGATCCACCAGAAGCGGAGGCCAGAACGTCATGAACAGCGTCCCGACGCCAAGGGTCGATATAATCCCCGCGTTGAGCAAGCCGACAACCAAGAATATGTTGTGCTTGCGCGAAACCTTTGTCAACCATTCCGCGAAGCTGCCGGGGGAAACCAGCTGGTGCGGCAGGCTCTCCAACCAAAACTCGGCCATCATGGCGACGCCGAACAGCATCGACGGCAGCAATACAATATACAGCACTTGAGCAAACCCCTTGTCCTGAAAAGAGTATCCTTCCCTACCCGCCCTAGCCGCCAAAGCGACGCCTGTAAATAGATGGCCGACAACAAACACGCTACGTATTTCGAACAGAAGTATCGAGAGGAAGCAACGTTCACGGTCGGCGGCGAAAGAAGGGGGGGAACGAAAGGGGAAAGCGAGGGTCACATCAAATGGCTCGTTGGATTCTTCCCGAGCTTCGATAGATAGGCTACCACAGGGTCTTAGCGAAAAGCTTCTCAGTGTTGTTTAGCTGAGAATCTTGTCGTTTGGCATTCTGGGGGCAGCTTCGCCAATAAATTGTACGTGTTCGTGTGTGCATGGGCGGATTAGGACATACCAACGGGACTGTATAATGTGGCGTTGCAGATTGGGACTGATAGTACCGTGGGTTGGGTTTGTGGTTGATTCACGGGGCTCGGCTGGCTCTCTGGGGGTGCCTGCTGGCGTTCTGCACTCTCTCTCCCGCCGCCTTGTCTCAGAGTCTTGATCTCGTCTGCTGTACTTAATTCAAGTGATGTACTACAAGCACCTGCAACACACACAAGCGTATTCGAACAGTACCAACGCCTCGCGGAGCATCACCACACAATGGGCCCACATGACACGCTTCAACAGGGACAGTGTTGCTGGTAGATTCATATATCAACCCTGATAGTGCGCACGCCGGTTTCGACCTCAGGGCTACCTGCTATGGATGAAAGGCAAGAAGATCGGCCGTTGCTATGGTTGCAGGATGTTCGTTTCCGTAGTACCAGGGCTCAAATATCTACTTTCTGTCTCTGATTCTTTCTTCACCCCTCTGCGCGCCCGCCGCGAATGTTTGGACATCTCGCCTTTCATGTTTACCACTATTATTCGACCAGCACCATGAACGCACAGTTTGACTAGGTCCAGATAGTCAGTGGGGTATTCGGGAAGAACCTCATTCCTTCAAATGGTGGTACAATCGGTTTCCAGGGCGGGTTTCTTCAGACCGAACGCCACACACCCTCAGTTTGCCTACTTTCTTCAGTAGGAGGAGGACCACGTGCGTGGAAGTAGAGAGTCAAAACAGCCGTTACAAAGTAGGAAGTTGGGATGTACCTGAAGGATATACGGTGAGAGGCGTTGGATGGTAGTGCGGAGTCCCCGTTTTCTGTCGAAAGATCGGGGCTCTTTCTTTCTCTCTCTCTCTCTCTCTCTCTCTCTCTCTCTCTCTCTCTCTCTCTCTCTCTCTCTCTCTTCGCTCTCCCGTTCTCTCTTGCGAGCTGATACACAGTCAAACAGCAACCCCAGTCCGCACGGCACGCACGTGCCGGTGCCAGAGCTCACGAATACGCTAGCGTACCCTCCCGGGAGGGATCCGCAAGACGGAGTAGGCCATGTAGTCAGCAGACGGCGACGGGGTTCCAGCAGCCGGGGCGAGCAACCCCGAACTGGAGTCTAGGATGGCCGAAATGCAGCAGAGGTTCAGCGCAGCAATGGAGGATGGAGACCGTTGTGGGCAACATGATTGGCCAGCTCTCGTCGATGATGAAAGATATGATGAATGCCGGAGGAGAGTCCAGGGGTGACGTAGGGGCGGCTGTGACGCGTCCCACAGAAACCGCAGCCATGGGTCCGCTGCGACAGGCATAGCCGGGAAGCGGCTACGTTGGATGGCCTGACCCCAATGGTGGGACGGCCCAAACCAACGGTGGTGTTGGTGGTGTTTTTTCCAGTGGTGGTGCTGCTGGGGAGGCTCTTGTCGCGGGAGGCGGGGGATTTTCAACATTCGTCGCGTCTCACGTAAATCTACCCCCAACTAAAGAGAGGGCCCGCGCAGTTCCTGGGGTGGAGGCAGGATCTGATCGTGCAGGCCGGAATCCTCAAAATAGGCGGTGTGTTCTCCGGGGGGGGCGTGCTGCCGGACATCACAAAAATCCCAGCAAACACTTTTCAACGAGAGATTTTCGCAGACAGCGGTCCAGCAGACGTTTCGCGTGCAATATTCTCTCTGCCGCTTTGACCACCGAAACGGATAAAGCCATCCTCCGACGTTGCGCGAACCCGAGGGACGTCCTGCAGCTGTTAGATGCAGCATACCTGCCGGAAAACCAAGGTGCACGACAGCAATTATTCCGCGAATTCCTTCAGTACCAGACACCGCGACAAGGAAATCCCGTTGCCAGCTGAACAAGCTCATGGGCATGGCAAATATGATGCAGCAAGGATGCGGGGCTACGGTCACCGGACAGTTCGTGCTCTCCCGCTTCATTGATTCGCTGCTGCTACCCGAGTACAAGGTTACCAAGAAACCTCTGGTGGTGTTACCCGCTGACAAGGGACACCGTCGTGCGCGAGCTCAGCACCCGGTTCAATGTTCTTGCGAGCAATGGAAGTCGGCGGAATGGGAGCGACCGGGGGAAAAGCAGGCATACTTTTGCGGGCGACGGCAACGGTGGCGGGAAGGCGCGGCGGGCCGGTGGCCATGGTTACAGGAAGGGCCACAGCCGTGGCAGCGGCTGTCAGAAGGCTGGTACGAGAGACCGCGTTGACCACCGGAGGCGGTTCCGATGCAGCCACCGCGGGCATGTGAAGCCCGGCTGCACCACGAAAGAGGAGGACTTCCTGGAGCCGTGCGACACATGTTCCGACTTCCAGCACAACAGTAAGCAGTGCGCGATTCCCGCGGAGCACGTGTGTCTGGCAAGGGTGGCGGAAGAGGCCAACTTCGCGGTGGTGGCTTTCGACGAGCAGTACGACCACGCGGAGGGCCAACGGAACCTGGTTGGAAGAAGCTGACCGAAGACGAAAATGAGGAAAAGGGGCAGGAGATTCTGACTGCGAGGTTTTGGGGTGGACCAATGGTGATGCTGATACGATATTTCCCCAGCCTCGCCGGTTTTCGTGGGTGGGAAGGAGACAGCGTGCAGGTTATGACACGCCCTCCGTGAAGGTCGCACAGTTTGTTTTGGTGTGCACTCCATCTACGGGGTATGAGGCGGTGGAGGCAGGGATAGTAGAGTTAACGTTGGGCAGAATGCCCGGACCATAGATTGACGCGCGCTGACGAGTGCGTGGACGGGCGGGCACCGACATACGCTCGAAGCGGGCGATGCTTATTTGAGTCGATCACGGGCACGGCAGAGTGGCTGCGCACATCCTACTGCCGTTGACACGCGCGACGGCGCGTGGGATGGTGGGTGACGCATAACTACGTTCAGTGGGTAGAATTTCTTGGATGTTAATCGACCACAGCACGGATTTCGGGCCATGTCTGTCCTGGCTTGCCGACGGAACGGGGGGGTAGTGTATCGAGTCGCACGGAGGTGGCGCGCAACCCATCGGCTGGTAAGGGGCCTTGGGATGGGGCAAAGCGGTACGGCGGTGTCATCAATGCAAGTGACGTGTGGAGGTACCGCGTGCATTCATCAGCCGTAAACGGACAGCGAAGAAAACGGATGTGGTAGGATGGCCGTGTCAACATTCAGCGCGTTTTTTCATCACCCTTGGAAGTGGTGTGGAGTATCTAGATAAGCTTGACTTTGTGCTTTCTGTCTTTTCGATATCAGTATGGGTGTCCGTGAAATCAGAAAGATTGTTTTGAGCGTTCTTGAACTCGTTTTTTGTTGTTTCCTTTAGCGGTAATTGTTTCTTGGTTGCCGCCAAACCCGTGGTTAGTTTCAGTGTTTGTGTCGTCGTTATCCCCCATACTGTACTTTTCTTGACCGTAGGTTCTTCTCCAGAGATCATATCGGTGACAGCTGTGTCGGTGATGGTAGCAAAGTGGGGGGGGTAGAGACGTTCATGTTGGTAGAATTTGAGTTTGCCACCATCTTTCAGAGACGTTCACGTTGGTAGAACTTGCCGCGATCGTTCTACCTTTCAATTCGTTTGTGTTTCCGTAGTTGTGCTTGAAGGTTTAGTGGCGAGTTGATGCATTCTTGGTTGAAGGAGGATTGGGGATCTTTTGACTGTTTGCAGATGATGGAATCTTGGTTTGAAGCAGGCTATGACTGGTTATATTTCTGAAAATAGATTCCTTGGAGAATCATTAGTGTTTGATTGGTGCTTCAATTGCAACAGGGTACGTTTAGGTTGTTGATTTTTGTTCATTTCTTCGAGGATTGTGATATGTTGATCCCAAAGCATGGAGAACGCGACTAACTGCCCGATGAAGGTTTGATGAGGAGCGCAGTTAGGCAGGGAGGGCGCTGCATGTGTGACTGTGATACCTGAGATCAGTGTCGGTACTGCACAAGGAGTTATTTTTCATCACATAAGAAGGATGTTGACGGAAGAAAGATTGAAGCGTAAACCACTTAGAATACACAATCCGCGTCCTTGGAAGCATTTAAGAGGGGTTTTGATCCGGTGGCCGGGTTTCCCCTGATTTTTTGGGGTTTCTGTCATTTTCGGCGTATTTTCGACGCACGAGAGGTTCTTCACTGAGGTAAAGAACCAGGGAGGGTGTTCGTGCGTGGAAGTGGAGAGAAAGGACCTGTTACATTGAGCGCAGTTGGCATGTACCTGATACGGTGATAGGCTTTGCCTGATACCGTGGTGCGTAGTGCGGAATCCCCTTTCGGTCCGAAGATCGGGGCTCTCTCTCTCTCTCTCTCTCTCTCTCTCTCTCTCTCTCTCTCTCTCTCCTGTTCTCTCTTGCGAGCTAATACGCAGTCAAACGGTAACCCCAGTCTGCACGGCACATACCGGTGCCAGAGCTCACGAATATCTGGAAGCCTGTTGCTTCCACGAAACTGCTCTTTTTTTTTACATCCATGGAACCTGCTTTCCAGTGGCAACTATTGACTGTTTTCATTCCTGCTTCTGTCGTCATCGTCGTCTTTACAAGAAAAACAAAAACCGTTCCGATCGCCGCTCAACGTTTACTTGAAACACCCGCAGGTTGGTCCAAACTGACGCCATGTATCTACGAGAACATGCCGCATGCGTCGAAAAAAGAAGGAGTACTCAGCAGGAAGAAACCA